TGCAAACTTCTTTGCAAAATAGAGACCTTTAAAAAACCCGCTGACATTTTATCATCATTTTACAGTTTTCTTTCTTTGATTATTGTTTTTAAACATAGAAATCCTAAGGTAAATAGCTTTAGATCTGTTTAATATTGCAATTAACATCATCATGAGTACAATTTCAGGAGAATTCTCTAGAGGACAATAGCCCAAAACTCCCATCTCTGTGATATACTCGCCAGCCAATCTGCTTTTATAAAAATTGATACCTTCCTAATATTTTAACATTTCTTGTGCCAATCAATTTGGTTCCTGTAGTCACTCTTTTCATTTTGTCCCCAAGAACAGTAATGTCCCCATATACATCATTACATTGCTTTAAATTCTTCAGATAATGCATGAAATCAAAATACAGCCCTCTCAGTTTATAAATAAGCTGTAACCTAAGACATAAAGGGTTAAATAATTGTTTAAAACTCTTGAAGTTTAGTTTAATGCTAGTTTCTCACACCATGATGGCTGCAAATTGGGCTCATTAATCACAATGTAAGTTTAAAAGAATTCTGTTAATTCTTATAATAAACTAGCATTACCCGATGCAAGTGAAATTACCCTATTTAGTAGTAGAGATGCTGAACTCATAGATATTTATAAAAAGAAAAATGCAAAAATGATATGAAATGAAATTTTAAGGTTAAGCTTTCTACATAGGACAGAACAGATTTCCCCCATTAATTTTCAGAATAGGACTGCAGAAATTCTACATGAAAATATTGTTTTTCTACAGAATCTCTCTGGAAATGACTATCCATTCATATTGAGAGGAAATCACTAAAAAATCATCCAATTTTACTATTTTTCAGAAAATTAAATTGACAGTTTTCTGAAAAAGTAATTTAACAAAAATTAACTTCTGAAACCTTCTGCAATTTGTTAATTTTAAAAAAGAAAACTTTGGGAAAAATCAAATGAAATAGCTGAAATTCTTATGAATGTCACCTGGCAGGACAGCTCCAACTGCTCCAACAGTGTGATGCTAATTGTATTAATTGTTCTCTACCTGGATCATGAGTAAGTAATTAGAGAAGGAGAAATAAAATGAGTGACAAGCGTTCCATATGCCAAGCTCTATATGTGCATTAATACATTTATTCATGGTACCATACTGTGTATATTATTATCCCCTCCCAAAGAAAAAAGGAAGTAATTTGCCAAAAGTGACAGATAGGAAATAAGTGCTAGGTTTGAAATTTTAAATGTGTTTATCTGGCTTCCAGCCTATTTTCTTTTGGCGATAGCATATGCTCTCCATGCTGAATTAAATAAATGTAATGATTGGCAGCTATGTCTATAAGCATACATGTGGGTAATACATTTAAGTTTATGATATCACACTACAAATTGTGTACGTGTGTCTACACACACACACACACACACACACACACACATATATATATATATATATATATGTTTTTTTATATTTTTTTTTTTTCTTGATACCAGGAATCAAACTCGGGACCTTACCCTTGCCAGGAAGGTGCTTATACTGTTGAACTATATCCCCGGCATACACACGTATATGCAGGCTGATCTGTCTAAAGATAACACTGGCTTCCCTCTTAGCTCTGAAGTCCCATCAGTGAATCTTATTTTAGATACAGCAAGAAAGAGCTTTGAACCTTAATCCTTTCATTGGAGCCTCATTTAAGAAATCTTTATGAGCAGACAGTTATGCTCAGATTATTATAAAATACAATTAATAAAAGAAATCAGAGAACTGTGATAATTTACTTACTAAGGGGGAACTTTAGGCAAACATTGAGAGGATTTAAGAAAAAAAGACAATATATTGAATGTTTTATATTACACCATGAATTCTCAAGTTACTTTCCAAGTTGCTAAATACACCTGCATTCAATTTTTAGAACAAAAACATATTTTAAGTTCAAACATAAGTGATATTTAAATATTGCACACCTCTTTTCCATTCTGTTAATGTATATAATCAAGATTTGACTTAACTGAGTCGACTAAAGTAAAAAAAAATGTTGCACGCTATCTATACTTACTTATAAATATATTCAATGCACCAGTAACAGTGAATATATACAAAAATACAAATGCAGAAATAAAGATCTGCAAGATAAATAAAAATGAATAAAATAATTATGGTAGCCTTTACATATTCCTAAAATGTGTCATTTTATGTGGACTTTCAAGAGCTCATGAGTAATAGAATGCATACCCTCAAATTTTATCTACAATCAGATCAAGTTGCAACAAATTAGAACTTAAATAATGCCTAGATATTTCAAGGAATGATATACTGCAGATAGAAAAACCAAATAGCATTCAAAAGTTAATCCAATATTAAAGACCACCATTTCCTGCAGAGTGAAAACATAGAAAGAAGATTTGCAAAAAAGGCAAAGTAAATAAAATGATCACTAAATTTATTGATAATACTGTTAAGACAATATGATACGCTTTAATGATTAGTTGTATAAGTATAGTTTCTTGGCCATGTGGAAAAAGAGAAAAAGAAAGTCAATAAACATAATCATGCATGCTCTATGAGCTAATGTGTTAAAAAAAAAAAATCCTTAACCTTTATTGGAACCACTACAACTGCAATAGGTATCTAGCTAGTCCTACAGGTGACTATCCAGTGCCAGCATCACTGCTGAGAACTAAACTAATCCAGTAATCTGTGACTCTAACAGCACTAAACCACTCCATTTCATATTGCATTTTATTTTGTGCCCCATCAATTGAACATTCATATTAATTTTTAACATTAGACTCAATTCATTTTAGAGTCATGTGCACAGTTTTGCTGGTAGCTGCAGTGAGTTCTTCTCCTTTTTTCCTTACACTGAATTATTATGTCATAAAATGAAATGTTTCCTAATTAGGATTCAATTGAGAGATACCAGCAGGAAAAAGTGTACATCAAATAGAACCTTCCTAATTCTAGGATAAAGTGATAACATTTTAGATGAGGAAATACAAAATAAACTTGGGGAAGGAAAAGAATGTTTGAATAGAATATTTGAAATTGGGTGTTTCAGACTGTTTAGATTTTCATAACATTCTCACATTACAATGCAGAAAATGTCTCACTAATGTTAATAGAAAACTGGATATTTGGAAATACGTATAACAATGTATTGTAAGCACTTAGCATGTGCAGTGGCAATAGATCAGAATCTCTAGACTCCTTTACGCAAACAACATGAGAGTTTGACTCATGTTTCCAATTTCATGGAAGTGCTGTAATAAACACATTTTAAGATTCAATTATTTAAATTGCTTTTGGCACCTCAACAGATTTGGCTGCCACACTACGGACAAGAAAGGCATTTTTTAGGGGCTGGGGATTTAGCTCAGTGGCAAAGCGCCTGCCTGGCAAGCGCAAGGTCGTGAGTTCGGTTCCTGGTACCGGAGAAAAACCAAAAAAAAAAAAAAAAAAAGAAAGGCATTTTTTGCTCCTTTTAGTATAATTATTTTCTTAACTATAATTGAATTTATATATTCCTATCTTACAAAGTCCTATGAAGTTCAGATAGCTATTTTCATGAATATGCATAATCATAAGGTACATAGTTAGTGATATTAGTAGGCCAACATATAATTTCTCCTTATTGCTGCCCGGAGGAATGGCTCTGGCTTAGAAGACAGGCAAAATAAGTATGTTCAGTAATATTAGTCTCTGTAAAAATTTCTCAAGAAGGTAGGTCATTATCATTAGTTGTGATAAGAATGTCTTCTGGATGTATAAGACAAAAGAAAGTTTATGTGGCAGAATTATGTAAGGAAACTTACAATAGTGCCTGCCCACAAACCATGCAATTTGGAAACAGCCAAGAAACAAAACCATAGAGAAGGAGGAATAAATACAACATGTATTAGGTGTTATTATGCAACTACAAAGATTCTATATGACCCTGGCAATATAGCAAAATATAGTTATGGAAAAGAAGCTATTTCTTATGCTCAGTAGCTAATTTTCAAACATATGTACCTGTATTTGAAACTTTGAGAATTTCACACATTTTTCTGTATCTGAAAAAAAAATGGATCCAGACTGATATTGTGTATCAATATAGCTGAAAACAGTTAATATAAAGGTAGCCAAAAGCAAAGTTCAGTAAGAATTTCAAAAAAGGATATTATCCTGATTGCTGATAAAGCACATCTCATGTACACTTGGCTCATATTGGAAAATAACTTACTGCTCAATTTTGCTAGAAAGGATAAAATATCTCTAGTAATATTATTTCATAATGTTTTAAAATCAAATAAAAAGCTAGATTAAAATGTCTAGATCAAACTGTAGGTATAATTAGATACTTCAGAAACAATATATAACTACATTCTGAAAACATAGATATTTCAATATCTAATATCTAAGGCAGTTAATTACATCAGCCTTTCATATAATTTACAATAAAACATTATATATTTCTACTTTTTAATGTTCAAGGGCATTATATTTATGAAAATAACATATATTGTAATAATCTATTCTGGAAAATAACATTTTCAATAGTCTGTTCTGGAAAATTAAATACATAGCCTTCAGGACAAATGTATTTAATACAAGGCCATATAAGAAAAGTACATAAAATTGTCTTATCCATATTATTATATGGATGAAATAGGAAACATCTAAATTATTAATATAGCTTGAAGATGAAGAAATGCAAAAACTGTAATGAAAGTATAAATGTTCATATCTTCTAGTCTATAATTTACATAGAACAACACACTAAATATATACTGTAAATATATCTTTCCATTGTGGGTATTTAACTTGGACTACCACAATATATATGACAGACTTGTAATCATATGACCAAACTAAGGTCAATAAAAGTTATAGTTTAAGTGCTGAGTGTAACCATGATATGGTCTAATTTATATTCAAGATGGAATATTAGTAATTATTTTAAACCACTTAAAAGGCAAACATAAAAGCATCTCCAAATTCATGCTTTTTTTTCTTTTTGACTTACTGCTTTGTAAGTTCTCTTCTGTCCAGCATGTTTTCGAATTTGTTCTCCATTTGGCCCGGTTTCCACATGCATCGAATAGATAATGTCGAAGAAGTCTTCCACCACGGCGACCCGCCGTAAAGACAGCTTTTCATCTACCCCCACGCCATCCTAGAGACAGAGTCAAGGACACATGGGAGTCACAAGGTCATCTGAAGTTAACACAGGAAGTCAATTGAGTCAGAATATTGAGCTGATCTGAACCACGTCATCTACATAGAAAACTTAGAAAATTTTTAAAGAATATCCTACAATTTCGTGCATTACTTATCTAAAGAACTTTAGTAAATAGGAGAAGGAATAGAAAATAAATGTAAATCATACTTAGCCATAAGCTCCATCTTTTGCGGTCTTTTTTGTTTGTTTTTTTTTTTTTTTTTTTTTTTTTTTTTGGTTTTTTTCCGGTACCAGGAATCAAACTCACAACCTTGCGCTTGCCAGGCAGGCGCTGTGCCGCTGAGCTAAATCCCCAGCCCCCATCTTTTGCGTTTTAATAATGACTTTCTCTTAACCATCAGTATAACTTTCTTAAATTATTTTAAAGTCTATTAATTTTATTTCAATGATTTAGTTCTAAATACTGATTCATTCATCGTGTTTCAGTTGCTGAGACATGGGCATTGTAATTACAAAAATAAAAGAGATAATATAGAGTCTCTACCCTCAAATATCATATTATCTGGGGAAAATACATCTATTATCAATATTAGATTAAGACACAAATGTTTTAAATGTGAACTGTAGATATTGCCTATGTGTAAACTATGGGTGGTTTTTTGTTGTTATTTTATATTTCTGAGAAAAGGTCATGCTATGTAGTCTACACTGGCCTTGAATGCACTGTGTAGCCCAGGTTGTCCTTAAATTTGCTGGAATTTTCCTGCCTTAGCCTCCTGAGTCCGGGGATTACAGGCTTGTGCCACCACGCTGGGCTACCTATGTGTAAACTAAGGATCTGCCACTCAGAAACTTAGTAGTTTATACAAACCACTTCAATCTCTCTAAATTTCTATTTTCATGGCTGCAAAATAGAGCCCACTTTACAGGGTTATTGTAAGAATTACGTGTAACAATGTGTGCAAATGATATAAACCCGGGGCTGGGGATTTAGCTCAGCGGCAAAGCGCCTGCCTGGCAAGCGCAAGGTCGTGAGTTCAATTCCTGGTACTGGAAGAAAAAAAGATAGAAACCCGATGTTTGACATATAGTGAACACTCTATAAATGGTATCCCCTGCTATTTTGATGATTATATACAAATATAAGAGAAGAGCAAACTACTATAGGCATTCAAAGAATAAGTGTGTCACTAATTGCTAAGGTAGTTTCTGGGAAGAATATGATTAGTACAGGTGGGAGATGAGGCAGAGCACGAACCACAGCAAGGGAAGTAGGACAAGGGACAGTAGTTCACAGAGATGATCAGAAATAAGAAGTCAGGGCTGAGATAATGTAAAATAAATAATCTTATATGGCTGCAACCTGGAAGAGGCTTCTGCTCTGAACACTCTCTCTCTCTCTCTCTCTCTCTCTCTCTCTCTCTCTCTCTCTGTCTCACACACACACACACACACACACACACACACACACACACCTTATTTGTACCCCAAGGAAAAACATGAAATAGCACAACAGAGCAATTAAAGCTGATACAGTGGAATAACTAAGTCCTACAGTCAATGCCTGACATGGCAAGAGCCTCACTGAACACTAATTCCAGCAAGCTAGAGTTTACTGCAAAGCCATGAAGAACACACTGGCACATTCTGTTACTTTGGTTTTTATTTCTTTTATATTAGACCTTGAAGGTAGCAGTGGCCAAGGCAGTATACTCACACGTTCAGCTAATAAGGATCTCTCACTTCGTTAGACTAGAAATGTTCCTTCACAAATTACTGTGATGCATGTTGCTCCCAGTTAAGCTCCTGACCTTTCTCACATCTCTTCTTGAATGTGTCCTGGTATCTCTCCTTTACGAGGGCTGACATTGCCTCACTGCCTTGTAACACAAGATAAGCGTGCATTGAGACTGCAAAGACACTTAGTGAATCTTGGGAGCAACCATTCTGGAAAACCTTCCACCTTTGATGCCAGTCCCCAGGAAAACACCGTCTTATGTGCCTCAATCTGACTGTCTCTACATCTTCAGGGAACATCCATTTTTCCTAAGCTGGGAAACTCAAATTCTACCTATCAATCAGTAAAACCATCCATGAAACTCTGTTTTCTTGACTTCCAGTCATAAAATGTTTAGTATCCAGTCAATGCCTTGATGAATAAACATAAATATAATAATTCTGTACAGTTAGTAATTATATGTGCTTATATAAATTAGTATATTACTTGTTCCTAGGGTCATTTGCATATTTATTCAATGTCCCATTAAACACTAAAACCACAATTTATTTGCTCATTTTATCAAGTACCCACCAAAACCTAAACAGTGCCTAACCCTTTGCTAGTTAGTACAGTCTCCAGGTATATAACCTCATCAAAGTGTTTGGGGAGCTACCTAATGCAGAAAATAGATGCTGAACTAAAGATTGCTACAGTGGTATATACATGTCCTTTGGCTTCCATGACAAATCACCATAACATGAGCTGCTTACCAAGAAAGACATTTCTTCTCTTGTCATCCTGGAGATCATATGTCCAAAACTGAGCTGTCAGCAGAGCTGTACTCACCCTGGGGAATCCTATGGTGAATCTGTTCTTTACTTGTTTCAGCTATAAGTGGTTGCCAGCATTCCATGGCTCCAGGACACATCATATTGCCTTCTCTTCTGTGTACCTCTTATCTAATTTCTCTTTTATGACGACCTTTCTAACGACCTTCCAGGTAATTCAAGGTAATTTCTTCATATCACAATCCTTAAATTAGTTATACCCATAAAAAAATCTTTCTTTAAACAAGGTAATAGTTTTAGTCACAGGAGTTAGGAATAGTTAGGTTTGGGTGGCCATTATTTAACCAACTACGGGTGGTACTGGCACACAGAAGGTACAGATTGTGCTATGAGAAATGTGCTAGAGATGCTTCAAAACTAATACTTAACATTCTTTTAAAAAATCAGGAATTTGGTGCACATCAAAATAATATGAAATCACATATACTTAGGGGAGGGAAATGTTCTATAACCCTTCTATCATGTACATGTGACTACTTTCAGTTGACTCAAGCCCCATTCAAACAAATATTCTATAATTCAATTCAAAAAATACCTTCATTGCTTCTTGCCCTTTTGGCTAAAGTCAAGGGAAAAATGCTTTCAGTGTTCAAAACTACAATATAAATGACTCAAATGTTCATGATGATTTATTGTTAGGACAGTTAGTCAAGGAAAAAAAGACACCTAAATTGGAAAGGAAAAAATAAAACTATCTTTTCAGATTCTTTATATCTTTTTAGAGATGACATGATTATGTATTTAGAGAATCCTAAGAAATATCCCCAAACTTAGAGTTGATAAATAAGTTCAAAATCCATACATAAATATCAATTAAATTTCTCTTCATTTCTAATAGACAAGCAGGAATTGAATTAGACAAAGTAATTTCATTTGGTACGACATCTGAATAATACCATTTTAGGAATAAATTTATTTACTGTTTTTTAATTTTTTTTGCTTTCTTTTTGAGACAGGGTCTTGCGATGCAGTTCAGGATGACCTTGAACTCCCTGTATAGCCCAGGCTGGCCTCGAACTTGCAACGATCCTCCTGCCTCAGCCTCCCGAGTGCTGGGGTTACAGGCATGTGCCACCACACCCTTCCTAAATTTTATTTTAGAGAAAAAAAGTAAAATAAAATTTCAAAATAAGATAATAGGACAGTAACAATGGTTAATATTTTACATATTATTATCTTTAAATTAGTTACTCAAAGTATAAGATATATGCATTTAACTGTCTAAACAATATTAGCACAATCCTCTCTTTTCAATGAACTACGAGAAATTAGTAGCATAACATTCTTAAATATCTTGTATGTATATATATAATTTTTTTGTTTTTCCCTTCCTTCTTTTCTCCTTTCCCCATCCCAGGTTCATCATATTGTCTCTCTGGTGTGAGAAGCTGAAGGAATTAATAAGCTCCAAAATGTACAATAGATAATGTAAAATGGGGAGAAACTGTTCAAAAGGACTAAATTTAGATACAAAGTTAACAAAATAAGTTTAAGATTTGCATATTAAATAAAATTAAATGAAATAGGTCCACATATATTCCACACAAATATTAATAGGCTATTTGTAGTAGTCAAAAAGTAAAAACACAAATGTCCCTGACATGTGACTATAAATGCATGTATGAGCATACAAATATTTATTATTCTGTCACAAAAGGGGTAAAATCCTATGTTGTGCCATGAATGAATCCTGCAGACATTAACCTCAGAAAAAGAAGTCAGACACAAAAGATCACATACTGCATAATTCAATTTAAATAAAATATATAGCATAGCCAAATATATGCTAGAATATTGCTTGTTTAGGGTTGGGATGAAAAGATGGGCACTGACTGCTATTGTCTGTAAAGTCTTTTAGGAAGGACGTCACTGTTTTAATATTAGATGATGGGATGTTTTGCAATCCTCTGAATGTACTAAAAGATTGAATTGTATAAGTGATAAATTGTCTAGGATGTGAGCTATGCCTCAATAACTCTGTCCAAGTATATGTATTTTGAGTTCAAAGATGGAGGCAAAGCAAGGAGAGAGACTCATGTACTATGAACTCAACCAATCCATGAACCTATGAATGTGGGGAGTGGAAATGAAGGGGCTTAGTCACTACCATTGCGGAGGTTAATATACTGTGCTGGTCAGTGTAGGAGAAACATAGCTTGAAAGAAATGCATAAGGTTCGTGTAAATTTTACTGATACAAAACGTGTTGCATAAAATTTACAAAAATGATAAAACATACTTTCATAATAAATTCCATATAAGCAACAAGTTTTATACTATGCTTTCATAAATGGCCAACTGACAATTTTGGCTGAACCATATAATATGTCATGTGAATTTCCATCTTAACCTGAAAACTGTTTCCCCATTTTTTGGTAAATAAACACGGTGTATGATTTACTGTTGAAGTATTTCTTACTCTTGCAA